GACAGAGAAAAAGAAAAAGAAAAAAAAGAAAAAGGAGACAGAGAAAAAGGAGACAGAGAAAAAGGAGACAGAGAAAAAGGAGACAGAGAAAAAGGAGACAGAGAAAAAGAAAAAGGAGACAGAGAGAAAGAAAAAGAAAAAAAAGAAAAAGGAGACAGAGAAAAAGAAAAAGGAGACAGAGAAAGAGATATAGATAGAGACAGTTGTGTTGCTGCTTCTTTTCTTTGTTTTCTTCCTTCTCTATTTGGGGTGTATAGGCAGCTAGAAAAGGAGACAAATAAAAAGGAGACAGATAAAAAGGAGACAAATAAAAAGGAGACAAATAAAAAGGAGACAGCAGAGATAGAAGAAACAAATAAAAAGGAGACAGATAAAAAGGAGACAGAAAGAGAAAAGGAGACAGAAAGAGAAAAGGAGACAGAAAAAGAGACAGAAGAGAATAATAAAGTACAAAAGGAGACAAATAAAAAGGAGACAAACAAAGAGGAGACAAAAGAAAAGGATAAAGAAAATAAAAAACAAAAAGAAAAAGAAAAAGAAAAAGAAAAAAATATAAAAATAAAAAAGGAGACAGAAGAGGAGACAGTTGTTTTGTGTATGGAGAACCTTCTGGGGGGCCTAGAGCAGCCCATGGCCATAGATATAAAACTAGGTATATAATAAAAAAAAATAAATAAAAATAAATAAATAAATATAAATAAATATAAATAAATAAATAAATAAATAAATATAAATAAATAAATAAATAAATATAAATATAAATAAATAAATATAGAAAGAGAAACAGAAAAAAATATAAAAAAATATTAAAAAATTATTTTTTTAGTTCAGAGTGCTGCTGCTTGCATGCATCCTATTTATATGTTGCTGCTGCTGCTGCTGCTGCTGCTGCTGCTGCTGCTTCTGCTGCTGCTGCTGCTGCTGCTGCTGCTGTTATTGTTGCTGCTGCAGTTTAATAACTGTATAGTTGTTTAATTGTTTGCTGTTGCTGTATCTTCTGCTGCTGCTTTTGCTGCTGCTGCTGCTGCTGCTGCTGTTGCACGTGTTGCTGTTTGCTGCCGCTGCTGCTGCTGCTGCTGCTGCTGCTGGTGCTGCTGCTGCTGTTGCTGTTTAGGGACTCGTTTGTATGGAGACAACGCGAGCAGCAGTAAGCGGGCTCGTGCTGCAGTGTATGCACGGGTGCGGGGGGCGGAGACACTAGGTGTCTCCTTTTGTGGGGTGTGGGGTGTTGAGAGGGGACAGTTGCTGCAGTATGCTGGGGGATCGCGTCTCCCGTCTGGTGTGTATAGACCCCACACCTTCTCTGCTTACGTTGATTTGTTTAGGGTCTTTATATATAAACACCCCACACATGCAGCTCAGGTGTACAGGCACCTCAGGCTTGTTCTCTCGCAGCTGTCTCTTCTCTTTCAGCACCAACAAATCCTTAACCTCTACTGCAGCAGTCTCCTCTTCATCATAGGCACCAAACACACACACACACAGGGGGCCCCCCAGGGGGGCCCCCAGGGGGCCCCCCAGGGGGCCCCCCAAGGGGGCCCCCCACACAACGGCTCAGCTCCAGGGGACACAACGGGGGCCCCTCAACAACAAGTCCATAGGGGGCACCCTGGAGGGGGCCCCCAGGGGCCCCCTGCTGGGGCCCCCCAGGGGCCCCTTGGTGGGGCCCCCCAGGGGCCCCTTGGTGGGGGCCCCCGGGGGCCCCCTGAGGGGGCCCCTATGCAGTCCGCCGACGGAAGTCCCCCTCGGGAGGCCCCTCAAGGGGCCCCTGGGGGGCCCCGTGAAGAGGCCTCTCGGGGGCCCCCTGGGGGGCCCCCTGAAGGAGGGTACTCTGGGGGGCCCCCTGGGGGGCCCCCTGAAGGAGGGTACTCTGGGGGGCCCCTCGGGGGCCCCCCTGAAGGGTACAGTGGGGGCCCCCTCGGGGGGCCCCCCATAGGGGTATGTGAGGAGGGGGGGGGGAGGGGGGCCCTGTGGTGCGGGTGAAGATGATAGACTTTGCGCATGCAACGTTGTACCCAGCGGAGATAGAAAAAGGGTACTTGACGGGGCTGGAGACACTGCTGCATGCAGTAGATGCAGCGGCTGCAGGGGGGCCCCTGGGGGCCCCCCAGGGGGAGGGGGCCCCAGGGGGGCCCCCAGGGGGGCCCCCAGGGGGGCCCCCAGAGGGTAACGAGGAGACACAGGGGGGGCTAGCGGCACTGCTAGCCCGCTGGAGAGACAGCAAGAATATGGAGGAGACAGAGAAGGGAGCTGAGGAGACACCTGAAGCTGACCCCGAAAGTTTAACTAGGAGCTGCCAGCTAGCCACCACAACGCAGCTAGCTAGCTAGCTAGCTAGCTAGCTCAGCTAGCTAAAACAAAACCCTCGATGGCTGGCTAGCTACTCGCTTCTATACGTGGAATAGCTAGCTGCTGCAGGGGGCAGGCAGCTAGCTACCAGCTAGCTACCAGCTAGCCATCAGCTAGCTGGCGGTTACTTATCTGGTGGCTGTCAGCTAGCTGTGGACTATGTAGTTGCTATCTATCAGCTAGCTACTAGCTAGCTAGCTAGCTAGCTAGCTAGCTAGATGGGGTGCTCTACACTACCTGCGCCCCTAACGGCTGGGCAGCTAGCCAACGAACTACACCTTTTTTTAGCTAGCTAGCTAGCTACCTAGCTAGCTAGCTAGCTACCTAGCTAGCTAGCTAGCTAGCTAGCTGCCTGGCTAGCTAGCTAGCTAGCCAACTACCCGTCTAACTACCTGTCTAGCTAGCTAGCTTCTTTATCTAGCTAGCTAGCTAGCCAGCTCTCTAGCTAGCTAGCTAGCTAGCTAGCTAGCTAGCTAGGTGGGGTTGTTTTATGTTAAGTATTAAAAGCCAATCGTTATACAGACGAACAGACAAACGGAGATAGTACAGCCCCTGGGGGGCAATATATAAATAAATAAATAAATATATAATATATAATATATATATATATATATATATATATATATATATATATATATATATATAT